AGCTGTTCTTACTTATGCAAATGCAACTATTTGACAGTGACCCATTTTTAAAGATTTGTGTGACGCAGACAGGAGAAAAGTAAAAAAAAAATAATTAAGAGATGGCATTGACTGACAAAACGAAAAACACAGATATTCCCAGCTTAATATTTTATAACTGAAAATATTTAAAAAGTGGGTTTATTCATTCATTTTGTATCTAAGATTTCTAAATCTGTGTGCAGCTGTGGTCTCCAAATCCAAACAGTCTGCATCGGAGAGCTTTTGATCTGCAACGGGAATAAGTACGATGTATACCCCTGCACACCATTCATGTGAAAATATTCCTATCGTTTTATGCAGTTTTGGAGTCTTTCCAAAATTCTTTTTGAGCTAATATTGTGCATACAAAAAGTTAGAAATATGCACACGGATTTTTCTATAGGATACATAGAGCAATTTGTAGAAAGAGCTCTCAACTCTGCAGGCTGAGAACAAAGTCCTCTGCTACAGGTTAAAAAAAAGAAAAAGCATGAGCTTCATGCACTAAACAACAGTAAAATACAAAATGGCTTGAGAGAATTTAGTACACACTCAATTATTTACAATGCAGTTTGTGATTTGTAAAATTCAGCATATTAATATGGATGATTCTGTGTACACAAAGTATTTGTGAGGTAGTTAAGAACATTTTCGACCCACTTTTTCCTCTAAATACCAGTATACGTGTGGAAAAAGGCGTACATTGGTTTTTGTGTGTATTTGTGTCTGTCTATACATCTGGCCCCAGGTGTTCAGTAGTTTCAGCTCTACTGACTGCAAAGAATCTACAGAAAACATTTGTGTTTGCTGCTTTCTTAAATCAAATTCAAGTGAAAATGATATACTGTCTGAGCACACGAGCCCATGCCATATTTAACTGCATTCTTGGACTTTATCTTTTTAAATCCCTTCTTGTCCTTTTTTTAATGTCCCATATTTACTTTGCTTTACTGCCATCAGCAAAATGTGACATAATTGCATACATAAAGTAGTAATATCCATACCAGTGTTACAAGAATCTACTGTGTGCTCAGCTGGGTATGTGAAGCCTGGGGGATTTGTGCGTATGCATGCAGGCTTTCAAGATTTTTTCAGTTCAGCTCTTAAATTCTGCCGTTCTTTGTTCTGATTCAGAGCATGCTTGGTCCTTTTGATTTGTACACATTGAAAGAAAACACCATCCATCATAGAGAAAAACACCCCGAAGTGACACACATGGATGAATGTATGCTGGGCAGCAAGGAACCATCAGCTCAGTGGTCTACTAATAAAATCAATACATTTATCAGTGGAAATAATCAGCTTCTTTTTTCTTTCATGGTAAAAAGTACAAGAAACTACACCCTCTTTGAAGTGAAGGTTTTTACATGTGAGGACTGAATAAGAATAATACTAGCAGGTCTTATGATTATGGAAATGCAACCTGAGATGAACTACAAAACTTATGTCATTACTTATTTAACAAAAAATAAATAAATCCTGCAGAAGCATTGCGTTACCTTCATAGTAGGGGCCAGGTGCTGCAAATCAAATGCACTTGATTAACTGAACCAGTGTATGCATCTCTATAAAAGCAGAATTTTGGGGACTTTGGAGTATTCAGGAGTGTGTTAACACAATACCAAGGAGGAAAAACATCAGCAATGATCTTGAAGAAATAGTTGTTGGTGCCCATCAATCTTGGAAGGGTTATAAGACCATTTCCAAACAGTTCGACGTCCATCATTCTATAGTGAGGAAGATTATTCACAAGTGGAAAATATTCAAGACACCAAATTTCCCAAGAGATGCAGGCCTCAGTTAGCATCTTAAATGCCGAAGTTCATGACAGCACAATTAGAAAAAGACTGAATACTTTTTTTTTTTTTTGTTTGGAAGGGTTGCCAGGAAATGATTCGTTCCTCCAAAACAAACCCATCTTACAGCTTATGTTTGCAAAGTTGCATCAAATAAGCTACAAGACTTCTGGAACATTGTTCTCTGAACAAGTGAGGCCAACGTGGAAATGTCTGGTCTTAATCCACAGCACCACGTTTGACACGAAAACAAACCCAGCATATCAGCGCTATAAAGCACGGTAGTGGAGCGGTGATGATTTGGGCACCTTGCAGTCACTGAGTTGACCATAAACTCCGTCAACCAAAGTATTCTAGAGTCAAATGTGAGGCCGTCTGTCTGGCAGCTAAAGCTTGGCAAAATTACAGCAGAACAAGAATCCCGAACTGCCAAACTATAACAGGGTGGCTTAAAAAAGTCCAGATCTCAACCTGATTGAAATGTTTAAGAAATTTGTATAAAGTGACATTGTGTGATGTGTGTTGTTCATCTCAGGTTGTATTTACCTTATCGTAAGACCTGGTAAGGACCAGATAATCCTTTATTAATTCCTTATATATCAAACTTTAAGGTGTCCTTTCTTTTTACCGTGACTATAGGATTCCTCACTGAATTAAAATGTATATAAAGGTTATAATTTGCAAATAAGTTTTCGACATCTGCAGGTAACGAATAGCACGTGTAAATAAAATTAAAAAAA